TTTGAGACGGAGTCTCGCTCTGTCGCCCAGGCTGGAGTGCAGTGGCCGGATCTCAGCTCACTGCAAGCTCCGCCTCCCGGGTTCACGCCATTCTCCTGCCTCAGCCTCCCGAGTAGCTGGGACTATAGGCGCCCGCCACCTCGCCCGGCTAGTTTTTTGTATTTTTTGATTGCTGGTGAACATTTGGGTTGTTCCCAGTTTTTAGCTATTATGAATAAATGCTATGAAGATTATTTTATGTGCCTTTGGCTCACATATATACACATTTGTGTTGAGAACATACCTAAGACAGAATTATTGCCTTATACATTTTCAAGAATACTTAATTGTATAAATTATTGCATATGTGTATGTTCAGCATTCATAGATATTGCCAATCAGCTTTCAATAGTGGTTATATGTATTTACACTTTCACCAGCTATGCATGAGAGTCCCAGTTGTTCCATATCCTCCTCAAACTTGGTATTGTCAGTCTTCTTCATTTTTGCCATTCTCATATGTGTTTACTGGGGTCTCACTATGATTTCAAATCTGATGTCCCTAATGAGTAATGAGATTGAAAAACTTTTCATGTTTATTGATAACTTGGATATTTTCTTTGATGAAGGGCCCGTTTACATTTTTGCCCATTTTTCTATTGAGCTGTTTTATTTTTATTGACAGAGGTTCCTTATACATTGTCAATATGAGTCTTTTATAGGGAATGCATTACTAACATCATCTGGTACTCAGTGATTCGTTTTTTCATTCTTTTGAAAGATTTTTTTCTTTTTTTATTTGTATAAATTCACGGGATATGAGTACAATTTAACAACATTGATACATTGCACTGTGGTGAAGTCAAGGCCTTCAGTGTATCCATCACTGGAATAATGCACATTGTATCCACCAAGCAACCTGAAAGATTTTTAAAAATCAACAAACATTCTTAATTTTATTATATTTAATTAACTTTTTCCATTATGGTTAGTGCTTTATGTATGTAGTTTAAGAAATATTGGTGTATTCAAGATCATAAATATATTCCCCTAGGTATTCCCTAGAAGCTCTATTGTTTTACCTGTCACATTTAGATCAACAATTCATGTAGAACTTTTTATGAATGACGTGAAGTAGAGAATCAACATACATTTTTTTCCATAAACATATTTATTGAAAAGACCATCCTTTCTCCACTGCTCTACCATGTCATCTTTGTCATTATAGACTGAATGTTTGTGTGTCCCCCAAATTCACATGTTGAAGCTCTAACCCCCAATATGATGGCAATTGGAGATGATGCCTTTGGAAGATAATTAGTGTTAAATGAGATCATGAGGATGGGGCCCTTGTCCAGTGGGATTAGTGCCCTTATGAGAAGAGACAGCAGAGAGCCTGTTCTCTCTCTCTCTCCCTTCACCACATGAGGACATAGTAATAAGGCAGTGATCTACACTCCAACGAGACAGCCTTCACCAGACATTGACCCTGCTGGTACTCTGATCTTGATTTCCAGTCTCCAGAACTGTGAGAAAATAATTTTGGTTGTTTAAGCTACCCAGTCTATGGTATTTTATGTCAGCCTGAGCTGACTAATATATTTATCATGAGTCAAGTATCAATTTAGATTTGTTTCTGGACTCTTGTTGTAATTGTTTACACACATATCCTTGCATCGTTGCCTACTATCATAATTATTCTGTCCTTACAATAAATCTTGATATCTAAGAGTATAAGTCTTCCAATTTTATTTTTTTCTTCAAGATTGAACTATTTTTGCTCCTGTGCATCTCCATATACATTTTAAAAACAACTTTTTAATTTCCACAAAATTTTATGCAGGATTTTTATCAGAATTAGATTTAAACATATAAAGCCAATTTGGGAGGAATCTTCCTCTTTACAATAGTTAGTCTCTAATCTATAAACATGGCATGTCCCTCTATTCATTTAGGTCTTCTTTAATTTCTCTCAGCAATGTTTATGATTCTCTGTGTAACAATCTTACACATATTTTGTGCGATTATTTTCCTAGGTATTTGATGTGTCTAATACTATTTTAAATTATATTTTAAGGTTCATTTTTGAAATTTTTATGGCTGGAATATAGAGATATAATTGATATGCAGATATTGACAGTGTTTAGAGACTTTGATAAATTGAGTCGTGAATTATAATAGTTAACCTGCAGATTGACTGTAGGGAGGTCTATACAAAATAGCATTTCTATCTTACAAATCTTGAGTTTCCTACTTCTTTTTATTTCCTTATTAAATAATTGTCTGTTAATACCAGTACAAAATTGAATATAAGTGGGAGATACTGGTCTTTCTTTTCTTTTTTCTTTTTTTTTTTTTTTTTTTCTGAGACAGAGTCTCGCTCTGTTGCCCAGGCTGGAGTACAATAGTGCAATCCCAGCTCACCACAACCTCCACTCACTGCAACCTCTGCCTCCTGGGTACCAGTAATTCTCCCACCTCATCCTCCCGAGTAGTTGGGATTACAGGAGCACACCACCACACCCTACTAATTTTTGTATTTTTAGTACAGACTGGGTTTTGCCCTGAAGGCTGGGCTGTTCTCGAACTTCTGTCATCAAGTGATCTGCCCGCCTCGGCCTCCTAAAGTACTAGTATTACAGGCAGGAACCACTGTGCCTGGTCAATAATGGTCATCTTAATCTCATTCTTGGTATCAAGAGGAAAGTTTTCAATACTTCACTATTAAGTATAATATTGGCTGTGGAGTGTTCTGTGGATACCTCTGGACAGATTAAGGAAGTTCCATTCTATTCCTCCTTTGCCAAAAGTTTTTTAAATCATTTATAGTGCTAAATTTTATCAAAACTGCTGCTGCAGCTATTACTTTATTCTGTTAACGGTTTTACCTTAACAGAGGTTTTACTTTGTTAATTATATTGACTGATTTTTAAAATTTAAACCAACCTTGCATTCCTAGAAAAAAAAAATCTAAATAGTCATATGTATTAACATTTTGTATATATTATTGGCTTTGGTTTGCTATAATTTTGCTCAGTATTTTTGCATCAATGTTCAGGATGAACAGAAGTTTTCCTTTTTTTTTTTTTTTTTGAGACAGAGTCTCGCTGTCACACAGGCTGGAGTGCAGTGTTGTAATCTTGGCTTACTACAACCTCTACCTCCCAGGTTCAAGCAATTCTCATGCCTCAGCCTCCCAAGTAGCTGGGACTACAGGCATGTGCCACCATGCCCAGCTTATTTTTGTATTTTTAGTAGAGACAGGATTTTGCCATGTTGCCCAGGCCAGTCTCAAACTCCTGAGTTCAAGTGATCCCCCCACCTTGGCTTCCCAAAGTGCTAGGATTACAGGTGTGAGCCACCACACCCAGCCAGAAGTTTTCAATTTTAATGTAATAAAATTACATTAAATTATTGTTTCCCCTACTTACAATGACCTTGGCATGTAATGTGATCAATGTTATGCTGAGATCATAAAATAAGTCTAAGTATTTATTTCTTTTTTTTTTTTTTTTTTTGGAGACGGTGTCTCGCTCTGTCGCCCAGGCTGGAGTGCAGTGGCCGGATCTCAGCTCACTGCAAGCTCCGCCTCCTGGGTTCACGCCATTCTCCTGCCTCAGCCTCCCGAGTAGCTGGGACTACAGGCGCCCGCCACCTCGCCTGGCTAGTTTTTTTTGTGTGTGTATTTTTTTTTTTTTTAGTAGAGACGGGATTTCACCGTGTTAGCCAGGATGGTCTCGATCTCCTGACCTCGTGATCCGCCCGTCTCGGCCTCCCAAAGTGCTGGGATTACAGGCTTGAGCCACCGCGCCCGGCCTAAGTATTTATTTCTTCTCCTATTCTCTGAAAAAGTTTCTCCAACTTCTTTTTTGTTGTTGTTGTTTTGGTTTTGTTGTTGTTGTTGTTTTTCTTAAATGTTTCATAGAATTTACCATTGAAGCCATCTAGGTCTGGAATATTCTTTGTAGAAAAGATTCAATTATTTTATTTCTTCAATAGATATAGGACTACTCAAGTTTTCTATTTCTTCTGTCTGTTTTGGTAAGTTAAACTAATGTGATGTCTCTGTCAAAGAAACTCTGGGAATTATTCTAGTAATCACTATGCATAACATCAAAATGATTAGTTCTAATAGCATATGAACCTTTTTATTTACTCACATTTCATATTTTCTAGCACTTGGTGTCTTAAAAAATGTTAAATCTTATTATTTCATTCACTATTTGTTCAAAGTAAAAAGTAACAATCATTAAAAGTTGTCCCAAGCAGCATAAATCTTTCATCAGACTTCTGGCTGCTATAACTATACATATACGCAGTTTGCTTTATATCTGTTCAATTAACAAGTACATATCAAAGCATATTAAAACATACCCCCTCAAATCATAAAATCAGGAGAGCAACTAACCATACAAGTCACAAAATAAGGATTTTATAAATATAGGGAAGTAACAGATCACCTAAGCTAACCACATCATTTTGCAGACAAGGAAACTAATGCTTAGAGAAACTACCTTATTCAAGATTACATGGCCAATAAATGGCAGAGCTGGCATTAGCAACCCAGGTCTCCTGGTTCTTGCTCTGGCAGTCTTCACCACATCATGCTACCACTCAAATTATACATTTCATCTGGCATTAAAAATGACAGAACACACTAAAATATGCCTTACACACTTTCAAGAACCCTTAACTATAAAGAGAACAATAAAGCAGGACCCACATCATAGTGGCTAACATTTTCAGGTTTCATTTTGGATCTTTTTTTATCACTTTGAATTTTAAATTACTATCTTCTAGCCTATATTAAGTTTCAGGCACCATTTCCCCTCAACTGTATAAATATAACAGTTATTGATTATCTGCCTATAGACTTTTTGCTACTCCACTTTAATTACCCTTGTAGTCCTACCATCCACCCTCCATATGCAACTAAAATTATATCATACATTCCAAAGTCAAACTAGAATGATGTTTTGATCATATGCCAACAGTACTATTAAGTTCTTGGTAGTCACGGATGATGACATATATCTGTATTTCTAGCACAATGTAAAGAACATTCAGTATATACTTAACTGACTGAAATACTGGCATAGTGTTTTGGATAATCCAGTGGTTAAGGATATAGGCTAAGGAGACATAATGTATAGGTTCAAATATCAGCTCTGCCACTCAGTATCTGTGTAACCTCAGGCAAGTTGCTCAACTTTTCTGGGCCTCAGTTTTCTCATCTGTAAAACAAGGTTAATAATAGCATCCACATAGAGTTGTGAAAATTAAATGACATAAATCTATTAGCACAACGCATAATACATGCTCAGAAACTATTAGCTATGATGAGATTATATCATTACATTATTAAGTACTCTTATTTCTGCCATTCATCATTAATTCCTCCTGTCCTTATCCTAAGTGATTGGGAAAACTGAGGGTTCAGTGAACTCTTTTTCTTTCTTTCTTTTTTTTTTGAGAATTGCAACTGGTTCATAAATAGTAAGTCATCCCAATCCCATTAACTCTAGGTAATTTTATTTAATAATCATATTTTTAAAGTTGGACAAATAAAGTCCAAAGCAATTTTGATTAAATCCTGTTTTCTCAATGGCTATTTGGAACACATCATCATATGCAAGCCCCAAGAATATTGAATAACAGATAAAATAAATAATAACCATAATGCAAACCACATTCTCATTCCCATTTCCCTGCAAGTACAACTCCATGTCGGAATTATAAAAGCCAAAAAGTAACATGCTTATTAACTGTGGGTTACTCAGCTATATACAGAGGTTAGCAGATCACGTGACTGTTTCCATATTCTCCGTTAAGCTAATGGTTCCTTAGAGCCCAGTTCTTATAACCCCTTAGGAATTTCAAGATTTGCCTGAAAAAATATATCATATTTCCCTGACTATAATGGAACTCAAATTTGGAAACTAACTGAAAAGCAAACCATCCTGGAGGACAGGAAATGGTCATTGTTTTCAAAGAAAGACAAGACATTTCTCCACACAGGAAATCAAGCTGGTTTTAGGGGATTGATCTTATCTTGCTCCACACAAACCTGTGTCGGCCATGTGGACATGCTCTTCCTTTTACTTCAAATGTGCGAACATGGTAAGAAATAAGAATAAGGGCACTTTTCATTTGAGGTAAAAGACACTTCATTGAAGACTGCCACATAAATGCATAAAGAGAAGTATATTCCCTCTTTTTTTCACATTTCATTTCATTTTAAAGTATTCAGAGATTTACAGGGATTCTGGACTTGGAATAGGCAAGTTGTAAGCCTCTGGGAAAACCTGTCAAAAGATTCAGATCTAAAATGTGGTTTTCTAGGTATACAGTGTTTTCTGCAGGAGGAAAGCTCTCACTAGAAAAAGTTGCTTCATTTCATTTTTCCTCGTGAACAAAAACAATCACACTGATAGTTTTATTAATTTAAAAAAAAATTCTTGGGAGCAAAATGTTGTCATGGAGCAAACCCGAAACTAGAGGGGAAAAAGTCCTGGTTTGAGTCTCAACTGGGCCAGGGTCTACCCTGGCTACTTTGACCAGAAGTTGACAAGGTGGGGAGACCCAAACCTGCCCTACCACTGCAGAAAACTGATGGCCAGTCAATGCAGCCAAGCGCTATTACGCTTGTAAAGCAGTGAAGACCATTATAAGGCCTTTGACAAAGATGTGTATCCAAAATCCCTTTTTAGTGCTTTACCTCAATCATCAAACTTGGAGGGGACCAAATTTAATGCTCAATTAAAATCAGAGAAGGCCAAATATCTTAATGAAGACTCACTACAGCACAGTTCTTACAATCCATGCCTAAGCCCTTTACAGGCATGATCATCTTCGAATGAAGTCTCAAAGGGTTGAACCCATGCTAAAGTCTCTAACATGAGATGAATTACAGCCAAGTTACAGTTTAATTAACCTATCTTTCAAAATTCTCTCTGATATATTTTTTGCCACTTCAGATTATGTTCATGATGTGATTTTTTAAATTAGCAAAGGAGGTTTTTACATTTGTTCAAACTGAAAGAATAAAGACGTGTTTGCACAAAAAGAAAGTGTTGGTCAATACTTTTATTATTTTCTAATATTCTTATAACAGTTTTCTTCATGGCTTGCCTATATGGCAAAGCCTTATTCTGTTCATTTCCTAGAGTCTGCAAAAAAGTCTGTGATTATTATTTAAGGATCATGGTGATTCCCTTCACTGCATGGGGGCGGGGGATGGGGAAAGCAAAAGCAAAGCTATTATCCTGTGTTTATAACACATCTGTTACCATAGTAATGCCTGTGATGTCACAAACTATACCAAGGGCCAGAGGCTGTCTCTGTTGGGGGAAAGGCAGCACAGAGTTGGAAGATGAATGCACACATGTGCGGCCAGAGCAGGGTCAATGCTGTGGTAACCACCAAGACACGGGAGCTCCCCTTCTCCAGAGAAAAGGGAAGGTAGGGCCAGAAGAGCAATTCTCCAGGCCCAGAAGTAAGCTACACCCACAATTCTGTATGCAGCTGTGAGAAAGGAGAGTGGAAATCCAAGTGAATGCAGTATCACCGTGTTCCCAATAATGAGTATTCCACTGGGCCCACTGGCTGCCAAGACATGGATGGGATCCAGTGGTAAGCCTGCCCCAGCACATGAAACACATGCTTGGGAAACAGTGCCTGACTGGATGGAGCCCTCTGGTAACCCCAAAGAGAAGCATCTTGCCTCATGATGGCAAGAACTGTAAAATTTTACCCCTATGGGCCATCCACGTTTATAGAACCACAGATTCTCAGGGTTAGGGAAGAACTCATCGAGTATCCCCAAAAATGTGGACTTGAAAAAGTAACTTTTAGCAGGAAGAGAGTGTATGTCCTGTCATTGGGGTATCTGGAAGTAGTATATTAATAGGCATTATTATTCTGATACAATCTAGGGAAATTTTGTAAGAATATGCTAAAAGGCAATTTACATTAAAAAGAATTTTGGATTAGGAGTCAGAAGACTTCAGTACCAGTCTTGGCTCAAGTACTTAGAAGCCATGTGACCTTGAAAAAGCCATTTAACCCTATTTGAATTCAGCTCTTTAAATTCAATATCTAACATGCTATTTCCCAGAGTTATATGAAGCCCAAATTAAATAAAATAATCAATGTGAATAAATTTCATAAAGTCTAAAAAATTTAATAAAATAAAAGGCATTATTAGCATTTTCACATAGCCAGTTTACAGTAATTTGAACACTAACACAGGAATCCAAAGCATACATGTGATCCTCATCTTCCCTATATGGAGAGGTGAACTTGCATGATACAGTCAACGCTAAATTATTCAAGGGCTGATTATCAAGGGGCCTTTTGCTCCTAGCCACTGTACCCTTTATTTGTTTCCCCACAGGAATGCCACATTAACCTACATACAGCTAGAAAACTGACAGCATATCTCAACTCAATTACCTTGAATCACAACTCTGGTAAAAGTTTCAGCAATGGAAGAGTTAAAATGATTCACTAGATGGAAGTTCTGGATAATTGGTTGACTTTAGCCACGGATAATTAAGAGTGATGGAATCCTCATTTCACTATCAAGGAAGCTGTGGTCAAGGTCAAACAGGTTGGGACTAATCCAGACAAAACATTAGTATTTTCTCAGTGAAATGCTTATATATGTGCAATAAGATTTGAGTATCAGTCATTCATTCATTTATTCAACAAATATTGTGACAGAGCTCACCAAACACCCTGAAAACTCACTATTTTCCTGCCCTTGTACTTCCTTTCTTGAAATATTACATAGTGCACCTCAGCAAAGTCCACAGTCTGACTCTTTGAAACTCTAGTCACCTTCCTGCTATCAGGAGACTTTGGCTAATCTTACCCTAGCACAAGCAGCAAATTATGCCCCGGGCCAAACCCGGCCCACTGTCTTCTTTGTAAATAAAGCTTTATTGGAACACAGCCACACCCATTTCTTTCTATATTATCTATGGCTGCCTTTCTGCTACAACAGAAGAGCTCTGTAGTTGTGATAGAGACAGTATGGTCTAAAAAGTCTAAAATACTATCTGACCCTTTACAGAAAAGGTTTGCAGACCCCTGCCCTAGATAGTATGACTAAATCAAAATTCAACTTTCCTATAAGTTCCTGCTTGGTAACTAAGAGAATAAGCTCCTTAAAAGTAGAGAATCTTTTTGTATCTTTGTCTTGTCATATAGAACCCTTGAGTAGGACAGAATCAAAGTTGAGAGCAGAGACAGAAAATTAAACATGTCCTTCCCTACATTTTATTTTCAACAGATGAGCGCCTTGGAATTCCATGGAAGACAGCACAAAACCAATAAAACCACTGGTGTTCAGTTACTCTGGCTTCTAATTCCTCAGAGTTCCTACATCTAAGACTTTCAAGGCTCAATTTTTGGCCTCTGTCCCTTCACATATTTATTTCCTGATCTGATGTGGAATTAGAGTTAAATAGGAGCTGTGTGCTTGAATTCCACGTGGCTGGCTCACCAGGAAACTCCAGGGCAGGTTTTTTGGCATGCCAAACTTATGTTAGCCTCAGCTATGCTAATTTCTAAAGCTGTTTGCTTTGCTCAAATAAATCTTAGAGATCAATTTGCATTTGGATGTACACCTTCTTATGCACAATTTATTTGCATGATAACTCTAGGGCAGAAAAAAAGAAAAAAGGTCTGGTTTTGTGTGGCAGGCACTATGCTAAGGGCTTTACATACATTTTCTTTTTGAGATGGAGTTTCACTCTTCTTGCCCAGGCTGGAATGCAATGGTGCGATCTTGGCTCACCGCAGCCTCCGCCTCCCAGGTTCAAGCGATTCTCCTACCTCAGCCTCCCTAGTAGCTGGGATTACAGGCATGTGCCATCACACCAGGCTAATTTTGTATTTTTAGTAGAAACGGGGTTTCTCCATGTTGGTCAGGCTGGTCTCGAACTCCTGATCTCAGGTGATCCACCCACCTTGGCCTCCCAAAGTGCTGGGATTACAGGCATGAGCCACCACGCCCAGCCTTACATACATTTTCTTATCTCATCTCGACAACAACCACATGAGGTAGGGCTGGGATCCCCATTCTACAGATGAGAAAACTGAAGGGAAGAGAGCTTATATAACTTGTCCGCGTTCAAAGAGGTGGTATGTGACAAGGCCTAGATTTGAACCCAATCTGTCTAAATCTGAACCCCATGTAATTGTCACTTACTCATACTACCTTATTGATACCCTCATCATCATCTCCCCTCCCCTAAGCCACTGGGCATATATTCAAACATAAACTGTACATTTACAAAATCAGTTACCCTTTTTTTCCCACTTGGCCTATGTAAAATATGTCTTTGGTCCTTGGGAAATAAATATGGACCCCTCTATATCACAAAACAATCAACCAAAGAAGAATAGGGACATTAGTAAGGCAAACTTTATGTGATACACCAATTACATTAGCAATTAGTAGACAAATACAATTACAAGTGATTTTGACAGGTAAATGGATTTTAATGACATATCTAAGGCCTCAATATGAAAGGACATTTTTTTTTTTTTGAGATGGAGTCTCACTCTGTCACCCAGGCTGGAGTGCAGTGGCATGATCTCAGCTCACTGCAGCCTCCACCTCCTGGGCTCAAGCAATTCTCCTACATCAGCCTCCCGAGTAGCTGGGATTACAAGTGCCCGCCAACACACCCGGTTAATTTTCACAGTTTTAGTAGAGACAGGGTTTCTCCACGTTGGCCAGGCTAGTCTTGAACTCCTGACCTCAGGTGATCCACTCGCCTTGGCCTCCCAAAGTGCTGGGATTACAGGCGTGAGCCACCATGCCAGGCTGAAGGGACATTTTTACTGCTAAAATGTAGCAGACCAAGCAAAAGAATGTAGCAGGAACCATGAAGGAAAATGAGAGTAACACTTAGAATACAGTGCAAGTATATCTATAACATAAGCCGAGGAACTTGTATCTACAAATTTCTTCACTGTTTATGGACGCATAACCAAATACCTATCTTCCCTAATAAAAACACAAACATTAGCTTTAGTATGTTATAGTAAGTACTGCTGTTGAAACTCAGTTTTATCATTGTTCAATTCAACACACAGAAAAATAACCAGCATTACAACTAAACACTCTAGGATGATTCCAACATTTTATAGCGAGCCAGATACAATATTATTTAACTTCTCTGTGTGAAACATACCTATAGCCCAGCTTGCAATATCACATAACACTCAGCCCACTGCCATCTAGATCTAATACACTGCCATCTAATTTTCAGGAAATATAAAAGAATGAATTACATTCTCATACAAGTGAAAGATTTCCATTAAAAAAAGAAAAGAAAAGAAAAAACTATCAGAGAGGTTTCCAGGAATTAGAACTCTGTGTGGAGAAGATACATAATCTTCAGGGGTGTCCAACATTTGAGCTTCCCTGGGCCACATTAGAAGAATAATTATCTTGTCTTGGGCCACACATAAAATACATTAACAATAACGATAGCTGAAGAGATTAAAAAATTGTTTTAGGGCCCGGCATGGTGGCTCACACCTGTAATCCCAGCACTTTGGGAGGCCGAGGCAGGTGGATCACCTGAGGTCAGGAGTTCAAGACCAGCCTGGCCAACATGGTGAAACCCCGTATCTACTAAAAATATAAAAATTAGCCAGGCACAGTGGTGAGTGGCTGTAATCCCAGCTACTTGAGAGGCTGAGGAAGGAGAATCACTTGAACTCTGGAGGCAGAGGTTGCAGTGAGCCAAGATAGCGCCACTGCACTCCAGTCTGGGCGAGAAGAGTGAAACTCCGTCTCGGAAAAAAAAAAAAAAAAAATTAAATCTCAAAAAAAAACTTGTAATGTTTTAAGAAAGTTTACAAATTTGTGTTGGGCCACAGGTTGGACAAGCTTAATCTAGGTGGTTTCTCTAGTAGATTTCGAGGAAGGCATGTAGAAGAACAAGCCTGCCACATGCCCTTTTATAAAACTATCCCTCCCCTCAGGAGACCCCAGAGGAGAGGCGGCCCTCCTTATGCACCACCCAGTTCAACCGTGGTTACTTTTTCTTTTTGTTGAGACGGAGTTGTGCTCTTGTTGCCCAGGTTGGAGTGCAGTGGCGCGATCTCGACCCACGGCAACCTCTGCCTCCCAGGTTCAAGCGATCCTTCCGCCTCGGCCTCCGGAGTAGCTGGGATTACTAGCTAATCCCAAAATACTAATTTTTTGTATTTTTAGTAGAGACAGGGTTTCATCATGTTGGCCAGGCTGGTCTCAAACTCCTGACCTCAGGTGATCCGCCCACCTTGGCCTCACAAAGTGCAGGGATTACAGGCCAACCATGGTTACTTTTTTCTTACTAAACAGTCATTGTCTATATCTTATTTTTAAAAACCATTTTATGTTTTTTTCTCATTTTAAACAGATGACTTCAGAGAAGGAAAATAACATTGTTTTGTAGTCAGTGGTAGAAAAGGTTTATTGTCAGTTGAAAGTTTATAGCCTAAGTAGTAGTAGGTAAGGAAATTTTCCTAATATGACAATAATACTCTAAGTAATGCCTGTATCAACATTTCTTACCTATAAGGTCCCTAAGACAGCCTCTACCAAAGTTAACTTGAGCATTTAATAATTATTCATAAGATAGTTAAAACAACTTTCTATGAATTGTTATCACTGAAAACACCAGTAGTGACTTACCTGCTGGTGGCTTTATGAAAGGTGGTGGAATTAAAGGTACAATAATGGGCACATTGCCATGATCCTTTGACCCTGCAGGTGAGTCACTGAGTCCATTTCCAGTGGCAAGCCCTGAATAGCCTGTGCTTATATTGTATGGTGAAATAACACTGTCCTCGGGTAATTTTGGTTTTGGCAAAGAATTTTCTGCAAAAGAAAAAAATCATATTCAACATGACCAAAGAACATAATGCAGTAGACTTAAATTTTTCCTAATTTTCTCAAGTAAAATGGCCATGAACCAAAGAAATTTTTTCTTGCAAATCTTTAAACAATGTACTAGAACTCCAGTTCATCCAGGAACTTTTTAGTCTGGTTACCATAAATTTCCAACGGGTTCCTTTATAATTTGTTCCACTATGATAGCTAATATTCCAGTTGAATCATGGTGATAAATTTTAGCACTGTAAAATTCCATAGAAAATTGAGAAGTGGTGGCTGGGCGAGGTGGCTCACGCCTGTAATCCCAGTACTTTGGGAGGCCAAGGAGGATGGATCGCCTGAGGTCAGGAGTTCAAAATCAGCCTGGCCAACATGGTGAAACCCCGTCTCTACTAAAAATACAAAAAATTAGCCAGGCATGGTGATGTGTGCCTGTAGTCCCAGCTACTCGGGAGGCTAAGGTAAGAGAATCACTTGAATCTGGGAGGCAGAGGTTGCAGTGAGCTGAGATCATGCTACTGCACTCCAGACAGAGTGAGACTCCATCTCAAAAAACAAAAACAAAACAAAACAAAACTGAGAGGTGGCCAGGCACTATGGCTCAGGCCTGTAATCCCAGCACTTCAGGAGGCCAAGGCAGGCAAACCACTCAAGGCCAGGAGTTTGAAACCAGCCTGGCCAACATGGTAAGACCCCAGTCTCTACTAAAAATACAAAAATCAGCCAGGCATAGTGGCACACCCCTGTAATGCAAGCTACTTGGGAGGTTGAGGCACAAGAATCGCTTGAACCCAGGAGGCGGAGGTTGCAGAGAATTGAGATCGCGCCACTGCACTCCAGCTTAGGTGACAGAGCAAGATTCTGTCTCCAAAAAAAAAAAAAAAAGAAAGAAAGAAAAGAAAATTAAGAGGCAATTAACCTTTTTTTCCATGTACAACATGATATACAGCAAACATAGCTCTCTGGCTACCAGGGGAAAGCCTAAAACATACCCTCCAGCATTGTAACTAGGTCCCACTGTATTATAAACTTGTATCATAATATAATCACATGAACCAATGAGAAAGAAGCAGGGAAGAAAAGTGATGCTTCACAAGGTATGGATAATACCCATTAAAAAATGACAAAAATAAAAATTTGTAAAACTTACAATGATATGAGCTTTGTACATCGTATCCTTGCATGTGAATCACTTAAAAAAAACAAATGAACAAAAACCTCAACCACGGTAAATAACTTTTTCCTTCTATAGCATATCCTGGCATGCTGTATGTTCCCCAGAAGCAAAGATTATTACCTAGGCCAAGTATTATATGAGCTATTAGTTTATAGAATACAAACTCATGACGTGCATTTTTCATTTACAGTGAAATTGATGATACTATCTCCGTAGCATGATGTGTACAATTTTATAGTAAGCTTAACATAAAATTTGTCATGTACACTCAATTCCACTTGCCTGCAGGACAGCTCAATTACATTTCCTTGCTTGGCATATATGAAGGGAAAGCTCTATCTTGAAGACTGAAAATAAAATGTTTGAACAGGTAGTTTATGCCAACAGATTTTGAATGCAATGCAAATATTGATCAAATTGCCAGTGATGATGTACAATTTGTTTTACTTAACCACATTTTATTAAAGTTCCTTAAATGGGTTGCTTCTTCACATACTTCTCTTCTTTGACAAGCAAGCTCTCATTCCTAATTTAGGTTCATAAATTCAGTATTCATACAGACTTCCCCCATGAGATATCTGGCACTGCTACCCACTGGTAGAATCGGTGTTAATTCAGCTCTGCCAAGGCTCTGTAATTTTCACTCTTTAGCTGGGCTTTGATTAAAAAATTCTTAAAGAGTAATATAGGCTCTAATCATCTACCACTCTCTTACTCCTCTTTTTACCCTATTCAAGTATGTGGGGGCAGGGAAAGAATGAAAACGTCAAGCAAAACAAAAATAGTACTACCATTTAGATTTCCCACTGAAAAAATAAAAAGGAAGGAGGATTACCAAACTAACAGTGAATCTCTCTAGCAGTCTGAAGATCTAAACCTAACGTTTCACTTAACAGAAGCCCCAGTCCCCAACAACTGATATCTATCAACGGCATCAGGAAACTCTAGTTAGCAAACACTGTCCCTTTCTTTAAATCTGTATGCAGGACCATGGCACTTAGGTCGCTAGTCCCTATCTAGTTCTCCCATAGCTGGGAGGAGATTAAGTTGTGTCTATTTTTGTTTTATGTTGTCTTTTATATTTCTGCAGAATTCTGCTTATGGGAAAGCACTATTGGGGATGTATGTTTAAATCAACCATTGGCATAATCAACAAAATGAGTCCCAAAGCAACTCAATTCTGGCAGGTTGAGATAGTTAATCCTTCTTTGCATGAACAAAAGGACATTAAATGTCATTACCTTTGAGAACAGAAATGTGCTGCCGGCTCTCCCCATCTGTAGGGTAGCTCCTGAATTCAATATCTTCACCATCTTTTAATTCAACCTTATCATAGCCATACCAGCCAAGCAGTTCATTCATGGTGTTTTCTGCAAAGTTCTGAAAGAGAAGCATAGGTAGTACTACTTATTTCTATAATCAATAACTACTTGAAAAGAATGCATAAATTGAATTCTGCTTGTCCTACCCCATTTATTTGCTGCCCTGCCTCACTTCCCCTAGTGTGGTGTTCATTTTTCAAATAATGTTCAAAAACGATAATGTTTTTAAATCTTAGGATGATGCATTCAATTATGACAGGGCTTCAGATATTTGTAATTTAAAGATAATAAGATAATAAGGTACTACATTTGTTTTGCCTGTGAATAGGAAGTCATATTTTAGCTTATTAGTCTATAAAGTCTATATCTAACATCAATACAAAAATATTGAAAGGTGAATCACAAAAACAGCTAAGAAAAGATTTTGAAAATGAAAACAACCTTTTGTGGTTCAGATCAATTTAAATTAAAATTGCTTTCTGATTTAGGTGTTGTTTTCTTAACATAACTCTTATCGCAGATAAAGCCAAATTTCAACAAAGAAAAATTTCACAATTGTTAACAGTACCATACAGAAAGCTAGGTTACAATAGGTTACAAGGGTCTTTCTTTTTTATTTTTTTCCTTCTGCAAGAGTTTTTTTCAAAAATCAGGCCAGGCACAGTGGCTCACGCCTATAATCCCAGCACTTTGGAAGGCTGAGGTGGACAGATCACTTGAGATGAAGAGTTCAAGACCAGCCTGGGCAATATGGTGAAACCCCATGTCTACCAAAAAAATGCCCTGGTGGCACACACTTCTAATCCCAGCTACTCGGGAGGCTGAGGCAGGAGAATCGCTTGAACCTGGGAGGCAGAGGTTGCAGTGAGCTGAGATCACACCACTGCACTCTAGCCTGGGCAACAGAGCAAGGCTCCATCTCAAAATTTTTTTTTAAAAAATCAATGCATAAGTTGCTTTATAAACTTCATTAGTGACAGGTTCTTTCTCCATAAAATCAAAGGTCACTAAGATTGTCTTCTGACAAGTAACATAAAAGTACCAAATAACTTTAAAGTTACTAGCCAGCCCAGATTTGGGATACTGTAAGAAAACATTTTATAAACTATAAATCAATTCATAAATGTAAGATAATATCACTGTTGCTGTTGTTATGGATATCATACTTTGAAAATAATAAGTATAATTGCACAGATTTAATATCTTACATTAAAGTGACTATATCTTAGTACCTTATCAATTGCTATATCTGGAAACAAGATGTAAGACTCTGTGTGTTAATGACCTTAATGCTTGTGTGTGCCTTAAACATTCCTATCTGGCAGGGAACCATGAGCTTCCTAAGCTGAGCTAGAAAAACTATATATTCTAACCTTCTTTGTGTCTCAAAGAATCTTTTATTATCCTTCTGAGAAGCTGTCATTTCTGAATTACACTGCGATGTATAATTTATATACCTGAAACAAAGCACCAAGGCTAAGCCAGAGTGTGCACAGTCTCAACGTGTGAGTTCCATGTTTTCTTGAATTTCACGACTTTAAATTTCAGCAGGGGTTGCATAAAAAATAAAAGACATTACACTACTGACTCCACAAAAACAAACCTGGCATTTCAAACTACCCACAGAATGCTAGGTTTTTTGCTTTAGTACCCACTTAAGCTCTGAACTCCAACTGGGTCAATCTGTGATGGTACAGTGTATTAACCATTAAGAAAAACTAGCCAGATTGATTCAGTGTTACCATTCGCAAGGCCAACAGTCAGTCATATCAAGCTTTAGTGAGGCATTTATTCTCTCTGATGGCTGGTCATGTCCACATTAAATAGACATACTTTTCATGAATGCACAAAAATATGATCAATATGAATAATAAGTTCAGCAACTTTAGGAATATCACTGAGGAGGACTGGGTTGAACGCTGCCCCACTAAATCAAAAGAGATCTCTTTAATGAGGCGTCAGTCTCCCCAACACCTAATTTCTTTCACTGAGATGAGAGCCTGGCTTGAGAATGACAATCCCTAGGCACACAAATAGAGGTCCTCTATCAATGGTCTGGCAGCAGAAATCTCCAAGGATGAGGCTTATACTTTTCATCAAAAAACCAATTCCCAACAGCATTAAAAGCCAAATGCAAGCCATCCAATTGGTCGGTGTGCCATTTGCCCCAATCTCTAAGAAAACTGTGCCAAGACGAAATATCTTTTGCATATACCCTAGTGACTATATCCAGTTTTATAGACCGGTCATCTATGGGTGCCACTTTCTCCTGTTTCTGTCTAGCCTCTGAAGTCACACAAAGGCTGTGAATGCTTAATTCATGGAGCAACCCTCTAGCCAAGGATATAGATTTGTTTTAGTCTAGCTGCAAAGCCATTCAGCCTTTCAGAACCAGTTCCAGGGATGGGATCCAGAAGTTTTAGACATTTGGGTAAAAACTGAAACCTCAGCTGGAATATTAACACCAAATTCACATTATTTGAGCATCAAAACTGCATCAGTTTAGTTTATGGTTTGTGCTGAAAAGTCAGAGGCTTCATGGAACAATCAATATGAACTTGATCTATTCCATGATTTTCAAGTTACTATAAATGTCAGGGTAAATAAACTCTAAAACATTCCCTTTCTTGTCATGGAAAATAAAAATAAACACCTTAATGTTTTGATATACTGCTACAAAAGCAGAAAACAAAGGTTTATATAACTTCAAGCCATAAATCTCAAAGCTTTCACAAAAGGGGCAAGATGAAAGAGAAAATGATCACCAAAGTTTCTTGTAGTACGGTTACAAGAAATGACTATTACTTCTGTTGTATACACTATTGTATGAAGAAGTCAAAGGACTCCAAGGAATCAAAAATTTTTAATTTTAAATTTCAAGGTGAAGTTTGATGCTAGATGTCATAGTTCATTATGGTGCTAAACCAAAGTAAATAAAATATATTTTTAACATTATCCTCCAAGAAACATATTCTTTTTCCTTTTCCTTTTTTTTTTTTTTTTTTTAGACAGGGTCTCACTCTGTGGGCCAAACTGGAGTGCAGTGGCACAATCCTGGTTCACTGCAACCTCCACCTCCTGGGCTCAAGTGCCTCAGCCTCCCAAGTAGGTGGGAGTACAGGCGCGAGCCACCATGCCCAGCTAATTTTTCTATTTTTGTAGAGACAGGGTTCACCATGTTGGCCAGGCTGGTCTGAAACTCCTGACCTCAAGTGATCCACCTGCTTCAGCCTCCCAAAGTGCTGGGATTACAGGTGTGAGCTACTGTGCCTGAAGAAACATAATATATTCTGAGACATGAATTTAATGTTTATGACCTATAAAGATTTTCAAGTCTTTCTAGCAGAGAATTACAACAGTTACTTTTCAGCATTTTTTTTGTATTATTATCCCTTAAAAAGGAATTTCCTATTTAAAAAGTTATTCACTTCCTAAGTTTCTTTTATATATACATATATATATGAAAAATAATAAAGGTAATAGTAGTTAAAATGCAGAGAGATTTTTGAGATAAGGATGTTCAGTAATAAAACAAGCCACTGAACTAAGGCAGGTTATGAAATCTGCCTCCCCCAAAATCTTTACCCAGCATTTCTCCTGGAGACCTAGGGCAGGAAATGAAGTAGAGTCTCTTTTGTTAAGAGTCCCTCCCAGTTTTAGGATTCTGTAAAATCAAAGAACTTCTACTTATACAAGAAATAAAAGAAAAAAATACCTTTTGCAAAGAAATTTCATAATTACAGTGATCATACCTCATGAATTTTACTGAGTCACTATTTCAAATATTTTATCATTGCTCCCATAAATCATCAAAATGTGCCAGAGATTTCAGTATTTTGGCATTTGAACTACATTTTGCAGACTGCTTCTTGACCTTGGAAGTGACACAAAAATAATCTCTCAAACCATGTGGTCCAATTTGGATTTGGAAAATAGGTCACTGTAATTATAATAATGTCTAATAGTCTTATAGCACTTTACAGTGTTTCTATATCTTTTAATTCTCCTGATCTTTTCAATAACCCTACGTGTTAGGTATTTGATTTCCACAATAAACTTTTGGTGAACCTATATGACATCCTCTTTTTACGACAGAAAATTAGAGCATCAAAAAGGTAAAAGACAGGCATGAGAGATCTAGTAAAGTCAAAACTAAAATGCGTATTTTCTAATTCTTAAGCCAGATCTCTTTCTACTATAAATTCTGTACTTCCCAATGTGTCCATAATTCCAAAGAAGCTACCTCCCGGACCAATCGAAGAGCTGCAAAGATGTCACGCAAGAGGATGTCAATATCATATATAAAGAGATTTCTAAATAGGGCATATCTACTTACGTTGAGACTTTGCTTGCTTTTGGATGTGATCATTGACCTCTACTTTCCTTAACAGGAGTGCTCAAGATTCACAATTAAAATGGAATCTCCTCATTTTACAATGTTTTGATACTACATCTAACTCTAACTGCTTTGTACTTCTAATACCTAATTTCTCTGCCTCTTTCCTTCCCTCTCCAACTCTCCTCTCTCACCTCCAGGGGTTCATAAGGAAAAAAGACAATCCTAACATTTAGTCTGAAAGCATGATCTCTTCTGATAATTAAAATAAAAACAAAAACAAAAAGGTCACAGAAAGACAGGTGGAAAGGAAATTTTACTATTTCTTTACTCCTCCTGAGTTCTTCCTAGACCAGCAAAATCATTTTTGTTGGATCTTAACTGCCAGGATATTCATCAAACACCTTCCTTATTCAACTGGAAGTACTGTACAAATGTCAAAGTTCAACCTACGTGATTTTTTTTCCTTTCTGAGAAGCTGTGAATGACACTACGTGATTTTTTATTGAACATTTTACCAGGTAAATAATAAAGAGCTGACTTCAAAACACTTTGAAAATAGCAGTAATTACAAATTCTCAAAATACCTCTGAAACACAAGTACTTCAAAATCTTCAAAAAGAACTGGTGATTTTATTTATTTTGAAAACAACAAATAGATTTTAAAACATAGATACTGATTTTTTCATACCAGGCCTTGCAAAACTGAATGTCAATGTGCT